TGTAGGTGATCTGGAAGTCTGGTTTTGAGACTTATTTACGTGTTTTCTCATTTCAACTGGGGGGGCTGTTGGCACCTCCCAGGATTACCTCCTCTGAGCTGGGAGAGGTGGGACAGGGGCCAGGAGCAGTGGTAGGGATGGTGGCCCAAAAGCCCTTTCCTGTGGGCTTTGAGCAGCTGGAGGTATGGTGGCCGGGAAGCCCCTTCCTCTGGACTAGGAGCAGTGGGACGATGGCTCAGAAGCACCTGCCTCTGGGCTGGGAGCAGCGGGACTCAGTACCTTGGTCTGGTGGTCCAGTGTCCTCTGTGTTTTTGTAGTGTGGAACCAGGTGGTTGTACAGAGGAGTGGGGGTGGGCGTCCAGTGGATTGTTGCCAGGGTGCAGGCTGATTCCGTGTGTTCTGCGGGACTCGGGACCTTGGTAGGGTCTGTGCAGACCTGCCTGTCTGCAGTGGACTGATTCGGCGTGTTCCGTGTGACTGGGGACCTCGGTAGGGTGTGCTAAATCATTTCTTACTTTGAGACTTCATTGGAGGAAGTTGTGGTTCAAAAACTTATTTATTTCTAACCTACCTTGTTCTGCATTCTTTATATTCTCTCTGAATTCATATAAAAACCTTAATTATTCTTATTCATTTCTCCTCCTATTTTATCATGGGTGGCATTTTCTGTTGGATCACTAGAAACTTCCTCAGGAAGGTTCATGAGTTCATTTTTAAAAATTTATTTTATAGGCCATGGGATTACACAGGGCTGCCAAAGTTTCCTACTATGGATAATAATAAATATCTCCCTTTAACCAAACTGTACAGTATTTTCTTCTTTGTTCTTTAAACCCTTACTGGCAGAATCATCATGGTCCTTCCACCTTCCAGTAACAGAAACTTTAAATCTTTGCATGTTCTCTATACCACCAATTTCAACCTCAATAGAAAATGCTTTAGGCTGGGGATTTAGCTCAATGGTTCCACAGCCTGCCTCGCAAGAGCAAGGACCTGAATTTGATCCCTGGTACCAAAAAAAAAAAAAAAAGAAAAAGAAAATGCTTTAAGTTTTGATTATAATCGCACTTTATTTTTAATACCAAATTCTACTCTCATTAAGTATTGCTGCATAACAAATTATATGGAACTTTAGTTGCTTAAATTAGCAATAATTATCATGCTAATAATTATTTTTATACCTATCCACAATTTTGTCAGGGACAGTCAGCTTGTATCTGTATTCTACATTATCTAGGCTTGAAAAGTTCAAACAAGGCTGAAGGTTGCATTTCTAAGATTGCTCACTTCTGTATCTGGCAAGTTCATGTATGCTATTGTTTGTATGTTATACTGGAACTGTTGACTAATAGCCTAATCTTCCCACATAGATTATCCAAGGAATGACTGCACTTGCTCATAACATGGTAGCTAGTGTATGAATGTGGATGTTCCAAAAACCAGGAAGTTGAAGCTGCTAAATTGTAGAGATCAGTGTGTATCAGTTGATAAATCACTGGCTATAATCTGTTGTTCAAAGTTGTTATTCAGCCTACTTCGATGCAAGGAAAAGACACATATTCCATTTCTCAAAGTGAGTCTTTTTTTTTATCCATAACCCCAAGCTTTTTTATCTATTTTTTGAATGAATATTTATCCAACTCACATTGTATTCCACAAACAAACATGAATCCTTTATGTTGTAGAGACTTATCCAGCCTCTGCCATTCTATATTTCTATATTCTGTCTTCTATCTTTCATAACTTTCTTCATCTTATTTTGCTTTCAGAAGTGGGAATGTGATGTGACTTTTAAAAAGACCTCATCCAACTTCAGAATGAAAATCTTAAGATATTAGGTAGGGAAACCAAAAGAATGCATTTGCATGGATATCTGTCTTAACAAATGGTGCCCAGGAAATCTCCACTGTCTAATGAATGCCCAGGGAATTTCTAAGAGGAAGACAATTAATCCTGATGGTGATTAGAAAGGAACATCTCTTTGGTCAACCAATTCACATAGTGTATCACCACGGTTCTACTTGTTAATTGGGAAAATTATGGACAAATATTGGGCACAATCTGGTAATTAGATCCCTAGAAAGGTGAAGATCTCAATTACCAGCCCAGGCATTGAGGTCAGTGCTGATGTAAAAAAAGAAAGTCCATTTGTGATAGTCTATCCATGGAGAAAGGGCTCAGAAGATATTTTTCTGGGGAGAAAGTTTTCTTACACTGATCTGAAGAGTTCTTGAAAGGTGAGGAAGAGCCCTGCTGCAGTATAACAAGGTGGTCAAGCTTCACCTAGGAACCCTCACAGAAATTTCCAGGAAGTGTCCGAGAATGAAAATCCCTGTTTGCCACAGGTCACTAGAACTTTGATTTGAAGGAATGTAAAATTATGTCTGTCTGGGAATTTCATTTTCTTAAATGCAGAGTAGTGGTAGTTGACAAATTTATTTGTATGTCAAATTCAAACATTGTTGAATTTTCCCATGAGCTAATCATTTGTTTACCCCTAGTTACTAATAATGTAAAGGGGGCAGGGAAAGTGGAAAGGCAGAGGTGAGGTCTCAGAAAGAACACTAGTGGGGACTTCGCATAATGAAATGCATACTCTATGATCCTTATATAAAAAGTCTAGAATAAGGTAATTCAAGTATATATAGGTAAGCTTTTGGTTCTAGTCAAATTTCAGAATCTTATGAAATTTTTGTCTGAGAAAAGCAAACAATAGCAATTTGGTTGCTATAATAGTAATCTAACTTATAATATTAACTTTGTGCTTTAAGCTTGTAGGATGAAAAATTTTTCAGACAATTTATAAAACTTTTCCAGACAAGTTCAAACTTGTATTGATAATGGCAAAGTGACTATAATCCTAGTGATTTCTATGGAAGTGCAGATAAAGCGGCACACATGATTGTGAAGCTGTAGGAAGGACTTCATGTGTACGATTTATTAAACTAAAAATTGAAAGCAAGCCACAAAATAAAAAAAACATAAAACATGGAATATTTCCAAATGTTGGAAGTAGTACAAGAAATGACATGACTGGTCAGAATTTTTGAATTCTAAAACATATGTGAATCAATATATGTAAAGGAATCAAAACTAGTTCAGTATTAGGGGAAAGGTATGTTTAGGAAAAGTATGCAGGACCTAGAATATTTTATAGACAATTGAGGTTCATTTAGTTTTTTTTACTATGATATAATTTGTGCTATCGAAAGAGAACGCTACTGCTATTGAGGAGGATGATTCGGAGTGTGAAGAGATAACCCAAGAAGTCAGTTGTACAGTACAGACAAGAATTGATTTCTGCACAAAATAAGGAAAGAATTCAAGAGGTATTTCAGAAAAAAAAGGTTATATGTGGAGGATAAGAAAATAGTGAATTTAAGTATTTCTTAGAAATTTACAGTTTGAATAATTGTATTATGAAACTTTTTATTTGGATGTAGAATCCAGGTAAAGAGATATTGTACATTTGGGCAGGAGGTAGGAGAGGATAATAATGTTCTCATTAAAATATATAAAATATAGTAGCAACAATAATAAGTGTTATCAGAGACCTTAGTATAGGTACAGTATTCAACCCTCCCTATTCATGGATTCACAGATAGATCCTGGGAATTACAGTTTGTTGGCCCCTGAGTCAGGGATACCAAAGGTAAGACATGTAACAAAATGGAGCAACTGATGAATGCTGATGAAATACTAAATTATTCTAGCTATGTGTTTTCTGTAAAGAGAAATCAAGTTTCACATCTGATAACAGTTTGTGGAGGAAGCATAAAGCAATAGCAGTAGTTTAAAACAAACTTATTTTAATGGATAACTGCACGGAAATGGGGTAGAAATTAGTTGTGAAAGGGAACAATGTTCTTTAAGGACAAACAATACAAAGACAGATCGATGGACATTTTTCTAGATGAGCAATGTGCCAGAAGGAGATGTGTATATGGGGGTGAATCCTCAGATGCTGGCACCATTGCATATATAAGTAATCATATTAAAATGTCAAAATAATAATTAGCATAGATAAAGAGTTTTTGAGGATTAGAACTCTAGAAAAAATCAAATTTAAAATGCACATAGGATAATGCATTTATTTGAGCCAATGGCTATATATTTTCACATAAACACTTGTCCCCAGATTCACTACTAAAACCAGAGACAGAAAAATAGTAGTTTGGGTAAATACTAATTTAGAATAATTTATAGTTAATTTACATTTCTTTTTCTCTCTCCTATTTCTGTTGTTCCTTATTCAAACATGACTAGCATAGCTAATTTATGAGAGTAAATCTCTGATTCCTTAGTTTCAAAGCCTCAGGACCTGATCATATTGGCTTTACTCCAAGGGATCAACTCTTCATGGCTAATTCCTCCTTTGTCACTGAGTTCCTATTGCTGGGATTTTCCAGCCTTGGGGAATTACAGCTTGTGCTCTTTGTGGTCTTTCTCAGCCTCTATCTGATTATCTTGAGTGGAAACCTCACAATCATCTCAGCCATTCACTTAGATAGCAGCCTCCACACAGTCATGTACTTCTCTTTAGGTGTTCTCTCTACTTCTGAGATCTTCTATGCAATTGTCATCCTGCCCAAGATGCTTATCAACCTGCTCTCTGTACTGAGGACTCTGCCTTTCATGAGGTGTGCCACTCAGATGTTCTTCTTCCTTGGTTTTGCTGTTACCAATTGCCTGCTTCTGGGAGTGATGGGTTATGATCGTTATGCTGCCCTCTGCCAGGCTTTGCATTACCCCATCCTCATGAGCTGGAGAGTATGTGGCCAGCTGGCAGCAACATGCATCGTTAGTGGCTTTCTAATATCTCTGGTGGGAACAGCTTTGGTCTTCAGCTTCCCTTTCTATGGCTCCAACAAAGTCAGTCACTACTTTTGTGATATTTCATCTGTCATCCATCTTGCTTGTGCTGAAACCTACATCAATGAACTGGTCATCTTCATCTGTGGGGTCCTTGTGCTTGTTGTGCCCTTGATCTTCATCTGTACATCTTATGGCTTCATTGTTCACACCATCATGAAGATCCCATCAGTTGAAGGCAAGCAAAAAGCCTTCTCCACCTGTGTTTCCCATCTCATTGTGGTCATTGTCCATTATGGCTGTGCGTCCTTTGTCTACCTGTGACCCTCAGCCAAATATACATCAGGCAAAGACAGGCTGGTGACAGTGACCTATACCATCATCACCCCGCTGTTGAACCCCATGGTATACAGCCTCAAGAACAGAGAGGTACACCTGGCCATTCGGAAAGTGATTGGCAAGACTGGGTCTTCTTTTTTTTTTGGTACCAGGGATCGAACTCGGGTCTTTGCACTTGCCAGGCAGGCGGTGAAACCACTGAGCTAAATCCCCGGCCTTCCTTTCTTTCTTTCTTCTTCTTTCTTTCTCTCTCTCTCTCTCTCTCTTTCTTTTTTTGGTACCAGGGATCGAACTATTGTCCCTGCACTTGCACAGCAGGCGGCAAAACCACTGATCTAAATCTCCAGCCCATCAAAACACTTTGCTACAGTACTTACACATTTAAGCTAATTGAGTCTGGGATTATTTAAATCATGGGAGTGTATAGTCTATCTGTGTGGCCTTGAGTGAATTGTTTGACATTTTATAATTTAATATTTTCCTGTGTAAATAAGGGAAAATAATATTTTGTTCTCAGCATTATGGAAAACATTATAAGTATGTGGCAATAAAATATATTTCTCCTCTTCTCTCTCTAGATTTATAGTTTTTAGAAAGGTCTTGATAACCCTCATTTTTTTACTTATATTTTTCTTCTGTCTCATATCTCTTATTGTGCTCTTGCTTATTACAAATGTGTCTAGCTTAAAATGAGTTTTCTGGTATGATTGTGGTTTTGATCTAGTATTACAGCATGTGAGGGAACAATGTTACCACACTAGTAATTAGATAATTGAAGAATTGGACTTTGCCTGCTATGATGGTACACTATTGTAATCTCAGAACTAAGAAGGAGGTTGAGGCAGGAAAATCACTGTAAGTTCAAAGCCAGCCTACATAATGAGTTCAACACCAGCCTGAACTGTATAGCAAGACTTTCATTCAAAAAACAAAACAAAACAAAATTATTGGACATTGATTAAGTCATGGTTTAAACTATGATTCTTCTCTGTATCTAAATTTTAATTTATGGAAAATAAGAGTACTAAAATTTTCCTTTTCTACTTTGCAGCAGTTCTGTATCTAATAGATAATATAAATTTGTAAAACATAAAACTGTAAAATGTAAGACTCACAGTAAAGAAAGCTCTATTCATTGCTGCAAAGAGTTGATTTCATGCAGAATCTCTAACAACGTCCTCAGGCTACCTTTTCTGATCCCTTCTTTGAGTCACTTATATTAACATAGCAAGTGTGTTGCATAAATGAATGGAAAAAAGGATAAACCATCCTGTCTCATCTTGGTTAAAGATATGGACTTTCACTCTGAATTCATTAAGAGGGAACTACTTAGCTTCAAATTTATCATCAGACTATATAATATTAAAGCGAGAAGGGCTTTAGTGGTCATCTGATCCTTCCTTGGTAGGATAGTCCTTCATTGGTATTTCTGATGGAAATCCACTTCCTCTGATTGAACATTAATGATTCCATAAAATGTATATTCCTGCTGTGTTCAGCTCTTATTATTTTCCCTCATTTCAACTTATGTCTGCCTCTGCAATTTTCATAGATTCCTTTTCATGCCACATAGTGATTGCAGGTTCACAGATCTTTGGGACAGTTATGATGATAATCTGAACTTATTTTACTTCTGAGTCCTTGTCTTCACACACCTCACCTGAAGTTGGGTGCAGTCCTCTGGAGAGGCTGCTGCAGCTCACTAATACACTTTTTAAAGGACCATGAATAAAGCTGAAGTTAATATTTCATGTGTGACTTCCTTTTCCAGGATGTAGTATAACTGTATGCTCCCTTACTGTTAGATTTTCAAATTAAAGTATACAAGATAAATAATGATTTTTATGTTGGAAACATACTACATCTGTTTCTATTTTTGTCTCCTTTTCTTCAATTCTTAGATGAGAACATTTCATTTATTGTCAGTTTTTACTAGGTAAATAATTAAGGCATTCCTGGCACTACAAGTCTCTAAATTCATTGTTGGTCACTTCCATTATTTTGTCTTGTTCTTTTTTTTATTCCAAATATAGTTACAATACTCATTTATTAACTAAATACTTTTTTAAGGAATAGAATGTTTTTTTTTTAATGGCTATTTCTTTTCTGGTATTTCAATAACTTCTGCTATTTATTTCTAGTTTATTATGTGTTAATGAGCCAACCTGATTTATAGTTCTATTTTTATGATTAATTACATTTTATTATTGGTTTCTTCTGAATTATGACTGGGGAAAAACTTTCATACATGTGATAGAGATGTTGTCTTTATTTTTATCAGTTTAATTTAATTAGCCTCTTGAAGTTACCCTAAATCATTACTTATTTTGCATGTATGTGACCTGTCTTCTTCTTACAGCACTGAATCATTTACTACATTAGGGTTAATAGACTTTTTACTAATTTTAAGTAATACTGATTTATGAATTTTGTTATGAAGTATATTTTAAATGTTAAATAGAACATTTGGATTGAATGCTGTATGATCAAAAATATGGTAAATATTTAAATATTTAATTTTAAAAATTACTACAACATAACACACATTGTCATTAATTCCTTTCAAAATACTTTCTTCAAACACATTTATTCCATCAATCTTGCCACTTTCTGTAGCAATTCTGGAAGTCTCTTTTGTGTCTTTAGTTGGGTTCTCATTTCTGGCTTGATGTCCTGAATTGATTCAAAACATCTACTTTTCAGGGTCATTTTGGTTTGGGGAAGATCTATAAGTCACTCAGTGCCAGACCCAGTGAATAAGTGAATGAGGGCACACCATAATGTTTTTAAGAGCTTGCCTTTCGGTTGGATGGCACTCAGCAACAGCGTTCACATTTTTGATCACATCTCATAAGGGCACAAAGAACTGAAACTATTTCAGAAAGTGGCAAAAACAATGAGTTAAATGTGTTTGAAGTGAAGGGGAATCTTTTGAGGGAGATTAATGGCAATGTACACTATCTTTACTGTAATATTTTAAATTTAAATTTTCATTGTTATTTTATCATGTGTACTTTAGTACATTTGTGTTTATTGACTTCTCATTATTTTTATAGCAATATTGATTTACGCATTTGTTATGGAGTCTTCTTTTTTTTTTTTTTTTTTGGTGCTGGTCGCACTCGGGACCTTGAGCTTAGAAGGCAGGCCCCAGAACCACTCGGAGTCTTCTTAATAAGTGGTAAATAGAACTTTTGTGGATTTACCATATATATAGTCTACCCATAAACACACAAATGATAAGTGTGGCATGAGAAACAGCAGCGTTCATTAAGAAGGTCGACAGGGAGGAGGGCACAAGGAGATAGCAAAACAATTATGAAAACAAAAAAATAAGATGGTTGACAGAGTTCTATGCACAAGAAAAAAGTTCAAAATACACCTGTGTAAGGGGAAGAGAACAAACAGCAGTAACCTACTTCATAACACACAAGTACATCTGGATATTTTCTTTACAATTGGGTCACCCAGATGGGTTCAGTGTCTGAATGAGGAAGCCAATTCATATCACTTTAATAAAATATAATAAAAAATGGATTGCAGAATGCTAGGAGAGTAGATGCCAAGAGTTCTCGCTACAAAATGATAACTATGTAAGGTGATGTCTTTGTTAGATTCAATCATCTCATACTGTGTATATACTTCAGAATATTGTTGTACAGGATAAATGTATACAATTTTATCTGTCAAATAAAAATACAATAAAAACCAAAAAATTGATTAACAGAAATATGAAAAATCTGAGTAATTGTGTACTCTGTTCCAAAAGATGTGCCTGCTAATCTTGTGCCCATGTATCTCAGAAATATCAAATCTACAGAAGTTGTTTTCCATTTACAGTTCAGTTTCTATACCTACCTCATCACCCAGTAACAGGAAATGCACAGATCAGCAATAGACTGCAGACTTGCATTTGAGTGGCATTGGTCTCTGTTTCTTCCATGCCCAGATCAAACTGGAGGTTTCCTTTTAGGGCAATTAAATCAAAGATGTTTTGTGCTAGAGACACACAGGGAACCAAGACAGCAAGAAGCTGCACTCAAAGCTGAAGATTTGGGTGCCTTTACAGCATGGAGCATCACCAGTCTCCCACACTCAGCCCCAGGGTGACTGCCAGGCTTCATCAGCTAGGAAACAAGAGGACCACCTTCCGGGGAACTGATGGAAGTTAGGGGTTACCTCAATAAAATGAAGAGCATTGTTTTGTGGGGCTCTTTTGCATGGAACCCTCTAGCTCTCAAACACTTCCCATGCATAGAGAGCTCCCAAACAAGCTTTTTAGTGCTATAATCTGGAAAATATATATAAACAACCGAGAGTTACTAAACATTTAAAAATTGTGAACATATAACATAGAGATCTACATAAAAATGAAAAAATATTCTCTGGGGAAATATAAAACATTCAGAGTATAAAATAATATCTTCCTATAAAATATATTGTATCTGTGAAAGATTCTGTGTATATCATGTGTACTTTTTTCCAATAAAACACTGAAAAGTATAAAATCACTATTGGGTCATCAATGAATTATAAATAAATTAACAACAAATAGGTAAAAAATAGAATATTGTAAATGCTTCATTTCTTACTCCCTGTTATACAACAAAAATGATTTTCTTGGCTTCTAGTATCATGCATTAATATTTGCATAGTTTCAAACATTATCACAAAAGAATTATAAAGAATATGTTCTCGGGCCGGGGATTTAGCTCAGTGGTTCCGTCGCTTGCCTAGCAAGAGCAAGGACCCGAGTTCAATCCCTGGTACCAAAAAAAACCAAAACGAATATGTCTCTAGTATTGGGTGAGGTTTTTTTTACTCCGTATTTCCTTTTTCTGTTTTGGCCTTAGCCACCAGCCTTATTCACTCTTCGCTCCTTCACTTTTAGACTTCATTTATGAAATTACTTTTTTCTCATTTCTAACTGCTTCCTGATCTATCACTGATTTTCAGAACATTTCTTCCTTCAATCGCTCATGACTGACTTCTTTTAAATTCTGACATTTGCTATTATTTCCTGTTTCCTATCACTTTGATTTCTTTTAGTTCATTTTGTAATATTTGGTTGAAGTCTGGACCTACTTTGTGTGCACCTCTTTTGAGCTTCTGCATGTTATGTTCTGTG